GACATGGGTGTGCCTTCGAATATTATAAATTATACTTTATAAAAAAAATTTTCTTCTGCTTCTTTGCTGATTTGACGTGGGTGTGCCTCTGAAATTATGAATCATAATTTATAAAAAATTTTTCTTTTGCTTTTTTGCTGATTTGACATGGGTATGCCTTCGAATTTATAAATTCGAATTCGTAGAAAGTTTTCTTTTGCTGTTATGCTATTTGAACATGGATATGAATTTTGATTTCTAGTGTTGATAAATGCATTGACCGGAAATTTTTTCTTTTACTTTTGTGCTGTAAGAACATGAAAGCCGTTTTTTTTTGAATTTTTCATTTATATTAGAACTCAAATTAGGCATCTACTCATGAAAATATATTATCTCTCATAATTTCTCCTTACCACTGTATGAAAATCAATATCAATTTTTTTTATGGGTAATCAAACAATCAATAATACAAATAAAATATATACTGAACATTTCTTTTTTTGATTTTAAGATCAAAATTTATAATTGTATAAGGTGTCAGAAACATATAATTAAAGCAAAAGTTTTCTTTTCTTTATATACAGTTAAATGAGCATGGAGTACTGATTAAGAATATATGCGTTGTCAATTTTTGGAATGATTTTTTATGAGAAAGTTTTCCAGTTTTTTCTTTCAAATGAACTGTTTTTTCTGAAAAAAAACAGGTCAATATTCAATCATCGGTAAATTTTCAAGTTATTTATTTTCGTTAAATTTCAAAAGTATTTGTTTTAGATTGAGCATGAAAACTGAATCTAGGAAATTCATTCATAAATGAGTTTCCCAGATTCAGTTTTCACGCTCAATCTAAAACAAATAGTTTTGAAATTTAAAGGAAATGAAAAACTTGAAAATTTGTCAGTGATTAAATACTGACCTATTTTTTCAAAAAATGCAGTTCATCTGAAAAAATGGAAAATTTTCCTCTAAAAAAAACATTCCAAAAAATTGAAAACATACATATTCTTGATCAATTCGTCACGCTCTATCTAAACATATATATAAAGAAAAGAAAAGAAAAGAAAACGTCTGCTTTAATTAACGTATTTTCGACACTTTATAAAGGTCTATTTTTACAATCAACTTCATCGTTTGAATATATATTTGCATGAACACAGGAAAGAGAACATTTAATTTTGGTGAAATGGGCGTAGATGAAAACAAAGTTCAGATGGCATGTATATGTAATAAATAGAAAAAGACGTGCTTGCATGCATAAAAAAAAGGAAATCTCTTTGACATGAGCAGATATTTGCTAGCTAAAAGTGATCAATAATATAGGTTCTTTTTCATAAATCTTCGTCGAGCAAATAACATGCAAACTCCTACAAACTATAATAATTACGAGACATTGTCAGAAAAATTATTTTAAATATCTCATACCAGATTATTGCCTGTTTAAAAAATAATAATAGTCGTGGACATTTTTGCAATAACTCAAGAAGAGAAAGAGCTACAGAGCTGCCATTTTCACCAGCGAAAGAAGAGATATCAGGACGTCTTTTTTTCTGATATTATATAAGACGAAATCATTTTAAAATTAATCATTTTTATAAGACGTCGAAAAAATGTATAAAAATGATCTGTCATTCAGACCAAATTTTCTTAAAAATTAAGAGAAATCTGTTTTTTTTTTTGAGAGACTAAATAGACAATTTTATTGGCTTAATATTAGGATATGTGAAGATAGTTATTCGAATTATATCTTAAACTATACATCTGAAGTCCCTCTATATAAATCACATATAAAAACCAAAATTTCATCTGAATGACAGATCGTTTTCATGTATTTTTTTTTTGCAATATTTTGTAAAAATGATTTCATCTTATATAATGTTGGAGAAAAAGATGTCCTGATGTCTCCTCTTTCGACTGATGAAAACTGCAGCTCTGTAGCTCTTTTCGTTCTTGAGGTACTGTAAAAATACACATGACCATTATCTTTTTAAACAGGTAATAGTTGTTAATAAGAATGTATCAAAAATTTTTTAGAACATTCGATATGATCATACATAGTAAGAATCATTTCCTGGGTTTTTTATTTATTTATTTATTTTTATTGCCGAGCTATTTTCATGTCACGATGAAATTATGTTCACGCTTTGTTTTTTTTAATTTAATTTATTTTATTCCTTGAATTCTTGTATTTCCTTATGTTATAATCGAATGAAATATAATTCAAATAAAAAAAAAACAAAAGAATTAATTTAACTAATTTATGATACTTGATGAATATATATTTGTTTTTTCAATCTTGATAAATATTTATGTAAGTGGAGTACATTTTTCGACAAATGTTTTTTATAATTTATGTTTCTTATTTCCAATCACTTAGTCTAGAACGTCAAGATGTATATGTAAAAAACTTGTCTCATTATCGATCAATCTGTAAAAAAAAAAAGATGAAACTATTGTTCTATCGTCATAATGTCAGCTCGATTATTGACATCATTCATCTCTAGAGATTAGTGAGACAATATCAATAACTTGTGATCTATCAATGTATTGTATTCATTCATTTCTTTTTGTAGAACATGTCTCTTTTAATGAAATAGAAAACAAAGGAATAACACTCAAGTACAATATAAGAAAAAGAAATGTTACTATTCATAAATTTTATGTTCTTAACGAATAAAATATCGGATATTTCTAAGAAATATGCACTGTCCTCATCCACATATAGAGTTTTTCTATGAAATACAACGTACATGAAAATGAGAGCAATATATGTCGTATAGAACTACTAAACATCTTAAGGAATCAATTATTAGATAGATAGTAATGTAATTATTACTTTTAGAAGACAAATTATCATTTTTATTTTTTGTCTTTGTCATATCAACTAGCGTGATGTAGATTATTGATTCAGTTTTATATAATTATTTACTATATTTTCTTCGATGTCATACTTTATGTTGAAGAAAAATTTAATTATATGTATATATATATGTTCGAGACATTTCATATTAGAAGTTCGAAACTATATACATATACAAAGACTAACAGCAGAGTGTAAAATTTCTTTTTACTACTACAATTTTAATGGTATGTATATATATCTCCCTGGCCAAAATAAATCGAACATCGTATTTTTTCGATTATTTCTTCCTACTATCATTATTCTGTCTGATTTTATATTATAGATACATCCTCGATTGCTTAACTTATTCTAAAAGTTTCAGCTCT